AAAGAATGGAATAAAAAAATTAAAATTCTATTTTTCAAAATTTATGAAAGTAATTAACTCTAATGGAATATTCACCACCGTAACGTCCTGTTTTTCCACTAAAAAAAAGAAAAATGTAAAACATTATTTTCGAAGAGAAAATTCCTTTTTTTTTTCTTTTTTCATTTCTTTGAACATTAAAACAAACAAAAATTCCTATATATATATATATATATATATATATATAAATAGGAATATATATATATATATAGAAGAAAAGAAAAGTATGAAATCTGAATTTTAAAGTAGTTTTTATTACAAATAAGCTTTTAGACTAAATAATATTTTTGGACTTTTCTAAACTAAAGCCAAAAGGAAATATGGTCCATATTTTAAAATGGGTAACAGAAGGACTTGAATTAAATATTAAAGCAAAAATCTGAAATTGAATTGAAAATATAAAATTACTGTTACAGTGTTAATAAAAATGAATTTGTCAAATAATTTTGAGATCCAGAATATTCTTCGGATTTAATATTTAAAATGAATATATTTCGTATTTTCGATGACATTATCCCGAAAATTCGAATTATTTCAAAATTACATTGAAATAAGAATACAATACTACTGTACTGACAATATCAAAATAAAAATTTGATCGAATTGCAATCATTTTCAATCGATTTTTCACTAAAACAAAAATTTAGTGGTAACTTTTTTAAAATTTAAGATGAAAAATATTTATTTAAAAATTTTCAATTTTAAATGAAAATTTCAAATTTCCTTTGATTTTATTGCATATAGCCACAAAAGGTATGAGAAATTAATAAAATAAAATTAAAAATAACATTACTTAAGTATTGAAAGTTATTCACGTACATATTTACATATATATAGGTAAGGATTACATTATTATTCAGAAAAATTAATTTTTATAAGAAAATATTTTTAATTTTAATGCAATTTTTTTTTTTTATCATAGAATTTTAAATAATATTTTAATGGATTTTAATGAAATAATATTATAGGAAAAACAAAGAAATTGAATAAATATTTTTGCATATTGGAAAAAAACCCTTTAAAAAAAATTATTTGAATATTAAAGGTTTTTAAAGTTTAAGTAATGTCCATTTTATTTGAATAAAACATTCAGGAAGGAGATTATTTTAATAACACCTTAATTTTTAATAATTCGTTTTTATTCTATTTAGATTTTGGCTTTTTTTATAATAATTATTTAAATTTTTTTTATGCAATTGCTAATTTCAGAATTAATGCACATAAGTGTAATAATTACCGACAGCTTTGCATAAAATTAGGGGGGTTTTGTGATGACACTAAATTTCAAAATATGAATTTTTAGTTGAAATACACTTCTGCATAATAGGGAAGCATAAATAAATTATTTTTAGAAAGATTTTCGTTTGTCGACATGTGTGTATCTCAAGTTCGGTTGAACCGATTTTCAAAAAAATTTATGTAAGTTTATTCTGTCTATATCACGGATTGATTAACTTTTAGGATATGTCAGGGACTTCAGGAACTTTTTGTGGGTCGATTTTACATTTTTTTCCATATAAAGCGAAATAATCAACGAATTTTGGGCTGTTAAAAAAATGAACTGGTAAATTTTTTGTAGTAAATTGACTATAAAGTTTCGTTTCCCTAAAAATTTTTTATATTAAAATTTTCGAAACTTTTTCCAACAATCACGTTCTAGTCTTATACATTTTACAAATTTACACGCCACTAAATTGGAATTAAAATAAAAATTGTTAAGTAAGTTATTTAAATTTTCGAAATATTCATGTACTTTATAGGGCACTGGCATTTTTCTGGTTGCCATATATTTTTTCATTTCATTTGCTTTTACTATTAACAAAGTAAAATAAAATTTATTAAAATAAAGAATCCATTACACAAACAAGAATTTTTTGGTTACGTTTAAAAAAAAATATTTATTCAAAATTTATTCAAATATTTTAGCATCTTTTTTACAATTTAAAACTCATCAAGATCAAAAGGTTTTAAATTCCATCAAAAAATATTTAAAATAAATTTGAAAAATAAAAATGCATGTAGGTTCAAATATGCGAGTTTTCACCTTACAAACTATGAAAAATGAATAAAATTTTAAAGAACAATGTTATATAAACGTTTATGATCTATCAGCTTTAATTTTAAATTAAACTAAAATTAAATTTAAAAAAAATCACAATTTATAATTGGAATACTTTAATAAATTTATAGTGGATTCTTTCAGGTTTTTCTAAAACTTAAATTATACATGCAAATTCCAATAACAATTATTTTTTATTTGAAAATATTCACAATATTTTCACTTATTACTCTTAATACTACTCTAAAAATATTTTAAAGGGCACCTTAAAGTTTTACATATAACCATTTCTATTCTCATTTTATTTAGCTAATTATGCGAAAATTTTAATTAAAATATTATTATTGAAAATAATTCAATGCAAATGATATTTTATATAATATGAAAATTAATTATATTCTCATAATACTTAGACTAATTTAATTAAAATGAAATAAATACGAATATACATTTATACAAGTAGACATAAAATTATATACAATTATTAAAATTGACAGTATTATTATTTTTATTAAACTAATTGTTTATAATCCCCTTTATATAATGTAATAAATGCATAGAAACAAAATTAAAAATGAAATAGAGCTTTGGAATTAAAATGTCTTACATGAATTTTTCAAATTTATTGAAGAATTGAGTATTAAATTATGAGATTCTAAGCATATATTAGACGTTCATGCATTTACTATACACACTTAAATGAAATGAGCGAAATTCTCACAACAACCGTAATGCAACAGTAATAAAACAATTCATTGACCATTGTTTATATTTTAGTGTTATTTTTGAGAAATTCATTGCCATTGCCATTGAATTATGTAATATAACCCCTGTCCATTATTTTAGGAAACTAAACTCACGAGTCAAGATATCCAGATTCAATATGAATGTATAACAAAAATATGAATTAATTTTTATAGTATACTCGTAGTATTATACATTAAATTAATTACTATAAAAATTTTCACTGAATAAATTTTCACTGAATTATAATTAATTACTATAAAAATTTTCACTGAATAAGTATAATTATGAAGTAAGGAGTATTTAATTAAACTACTTTAAAATATTTAATCGCGCGAAGGTATAAATTGCACTTTTCATTTGGTATTGAAATTTATTTCCCTCATATAAAAAATGTTTGAAAACCATTCCTAAATTCATAATTTTAAATCTTCAATCGGGTCAAGTTTCAAATTACTTAAATTTATGAAACGATCGCAGGGAAAATTACCTGATAAAAATACTTTTGAAGTTTTAATTAGAGAAGAGTGGGATCTTTCAATTAAATTTTAATCTTTTTGTTGCATTCTCTTGAATTAATAGTTGGACCCAGCGCCGGATCTACCATATATGCAAAGTAAACATTTGCAAAGGTCGTCGGAAAGAAAGGAAGCCGAAAATCAGGGGCGCCATTGAAAATTTTCAAAAGAAAAACTAAATTTTGAAAAATAAAAATTTTTTCAATTACATTTCCAGGGTGCAATTCCATGATCAATCTTGTATTCAGATTATAAGAAAGAGGATTTTTTTAACTTCAAAGTGCAATGTTTATTGCATATTGCTTTGAATAGTGCAAGGACATACTTTTTGACGCTTGGGGCGTTGAGCAAATCAGAAGCGGGCCTGCTTAAACACGCGTTCTTCATCATTAATTACTCTTATATTGATTGTCATGTTGTACAAAATATTTAAAATCATTAATACTTTTTTTTCAATTATTTAAAAAATTCATCAAGTAAAAAACGAATTTATTAATAAAATCCGAATTTTTATCTGTTTTCGATATAAAAATAATTTATTTTTAAGCAATTAAATTTATAATAATAATTTTTAAATATTCTTGGACCATCTGTTTATCCTAAATGTTTTAAATGGAAAAATCGCAGATACAGTGATATGTGTTAAATTTTAGTGTTTAAATTTTTAAATATATATTTAAATATTGTTGATTTAATTAGAAAAACAAATTGCAACAAATCTACAACTCTATATTTCTTTAAAATTTTCTTAAAAATATTTTAAAAAATTAAACGCATTGTGTATAATGAAAGTCCAAAGATCAAAGAATTCTAGTATGCTACTGTATATGCAGAATTCATATACAATTTTGTAATTTAATTATAATTAAAATTATTTTTGTATTAAGGAAAAACTAGTATTTATTGTCAATAATTATTGAGTATTTAAATATTGTAACTGTTTGGTAATAAGAATTATTCAATTTATTACTAGAATATAATGTAGTAAAATAACTAAATTTTAAGAGTAATACTGCGTTAATCTCTGATAGCACTAATATTGTGGTATGCTACAGAACAATTCAGCTTATAAATTATCATTACCAAATCTTATAGTACACAGTATTACATATATATATATAAATATTTTGTATTAGCATATTTGAATATTGCTTGTAAGAATATTAATTAAATTTCGTAGTTTTTGCAATTTATAATTTAAATATTAGAGTGGTGAACTGTATATACTTGCATGATAACATTTTGTATTTATTTTAAATAATTGTTATTTTATTGCTTTTGAACTCATTGCATGCGCTTTATGTAGTATGTAATTTATGTTGTATACTGTAAATTTTTATTTAATTTGTTTTTTAAAGCTAACAACATCAAACTACAAATTTTAAGATCCGAAAAATTCTAATTCTATAATTAAATATTGTTAAATTTTTTAATACTCGTATTTCCTTACAAACATTTTTATAAAAATTCAAGTTACATTTTTCTAAATGTCACGAGATCGTAACTTTTGTAGTTTTATGTTATAAATTTTTATTAAAAAACAAAAATTTTGTCAAATCTTTTCTTCTGTAATTAATATATGTATTTCTTTTATTCTGTTCATTTCATATTAATTATGAAAAACAAATAACAATAAACAGGTGACAGCAACTGATGGTGATAAAGATCGGCCTCAAAATATTGTTTATTTCTTAACTGGGCAAGGTATTGATCCAGATAATCCAGCCAATAGTAAATTTGATATTAATCGAACAACCGGAGAAATTTTTGTATTAAAAGTAAGTACAATTTGCATTTCTGTTTTATTTTATTATCTTTAAAAATTTATTTAATTATGATCAAAATTTGTAATATCGGAATAAGAGTACATGAGGTATATAAGTACAATAAACGTTGCTAATAAATGTTTACGTAAAAACCTTTATCCCAAAATTTGCAATATTTTATTGGAGATAATTTTTTTTTGTATTTTATATGCTGCTAAACCAACTCCATTTTAAATCGGCAAATTTAAAAGCTATTCTCAAAATTAATATTAAGTATATCAAAAGAGTTTTATGATACTCTTACGAAAGCTGCTGATAGGATATTAAGGGCAAAACAACTTATATTTTAAATAAGTAAACGTTTCTAGAGTCAAAATACGAGTATTGTAAAACTATTTGAAAAACTACAATTCGTGAAAAAAATTCATAATGCAAGAATTCATTCCATAAAAAAATTCAGAAGAAAATTAATTTTCTAAAAATTATAGTTCAATTTCAAAAATTCTTTACATATGTTGGAACACTTATGTAGAATCAAAATTTCTCCATTTTACCTTTGTAAAAACCGTTACCTAAAAACTACCAATATAATTTTTAAGCATAATATTACCGTTACTCTGTATGTATTCTAAAATCTTTATAAAAATCAAGGATTTCAGAGCTCATCACTATTCTACAGAGCATTTAAATCATTTTGTGTCAACTACAGAGCTCATAATTTCAAGACCTTGTAATTTCGTAATAAAAAGATCGCTCAAATAAAGGTATGGAAACAGATATTGTTATATAATTTTTATGTATGTCAGTACGTGTACAATATATGTTTGTATATTCATAAATTTATCCTCAATATAAAATACTCTATTGTATTTAAAATTTTATTATTAACGATATAAATACATACAAGCATTATGTATTATATGTGCAATTATGTACTTACAAAACTAAAACATGCAACCGACAATTTCGGGTTAAATAACATCTACATACAATGTGTATATATATATATTGGTATGTAATAAAAATATGGTTTGTTTCTGCAAGTTTATTACAATCATACATAAAATTTTAACATTATAAAACAAAACAAAATAAATATTAACTTGAGAGATATTGTTTTTTCTCTCTCTTATTGTTATTATTTTTGAATTTGACATGAATAATCCTTTTCTCTTTTACTCTTGACCAAAATATTATGTATGTACAGAATTAGAAAATAAGATAATAAATAAAAAAAAAAATTAAATTATTCAAAAATTTAAACCGAATAGAATCGGAGTGAATTTTCAATTCTCTTGTAGTTTTCGCTATATGAAATATCTAGAAAATTTTACAAAATTACACTACAGGATATTTTTTTTTTATTTTTGACTTTTGAGATAATTTTTTTTTTCTCTTCTCTTAATTTTAAACACAAGGATTTTATAATATTGTTTACAAAGGATTCTAAATAACAATATGAAAACCATAACGCCCTTGTATTATTTTTAAATTTCATAAAGTTTTAATATTATAGAAGTCAAATAATTTAATATAAAGTACGATAATTTACATATATACAAACCTTATTTTGTAATAAAATTCTGAATTTTTATGAAATTTACAGCATATGTTTGCAAAATTGAAAATGAAAATTGTAGGTTTGCTTTTAAAATTAAATTACTTTTAATGGAAGCCCATAACAGGTGAACTCACCACATAAGTTTGTCGTAATAAATTATTTAACAATCTATTAGTTACAACTGAAATTTTCAAATTATCAAAAGACTCAATTTAGCAATTGGAAGTATAGTAAACTGAATTATGCATTAGTGCAGTATTAATGAAATTTCGAAGTCACTGTTTATGTTAACAAACCCCAAACACTTAATAAACATAATATTAAATAATATTACGTAAAGACAAACTGAATATAAAATATAAGAAATTTATGATAATATTCATTAAGTATAAGAAGCGACAAAATCTATGGTGTTTCATTGTAGAACAATTTAGGATACTTAGCTATCTAACTAGGTTATATTAGTATGGGCTATCAAGGTTATATTAAATTTTTTTGATTTTCATGTTCATTTATTTAAAATTGGATTTCTTATGGAAATCCTTTAGTTGAATTACTTTTATCATTCATTGTTTGAATCAATTTCATTTTAGAATGAATTAAGAGCAAAATATTACTCCATATATACATAAAATGGTATAATTTCTTAATTGATGAAATTTATAATGTTCCATGTATTTTGAGTTATAAATAAAGAATAAAAAAAATAGTAAAATAATTTTTTCTTTCATAAACTACATAACGAGAAAAGGGCAAAAGAGTGAATACAAAAAATACATTTTTTTTAAAACATAAAAATTACTCATCTCTTTGAGTAATAAATACCCAACATAATTGCTTGCACACACAATATCTTCAGTTCATGTATAAAAGTGCACGATATACAAAATAATTAGAAAAAGGAACATAATAATACAAAGGGTCATCTCAAAAGTTCAGAAAGTGAATTTGTATAGGTATAGATCAAGCATTATAAACCCCAAGCAATATAAATGAATATATATGTATATATATATAAAAAAAATTTATTCCTGTATGAAGTGATAATAGAGCGAACTAGAATTTCATAAATGTACTATTAAAATGACAAAAGAATTTAAAAATATTCAACTACATGCACACATGCACATAATGTATATATGTATGCTTTTATTATAATAAAACTGGACTTGTTGTTCAACTATTTTATTATTAGAATGCAAATATTAAAAGGATGTGTAAAAAATATCCTTCAAAATATGTATTTATATATATATACAATATATATATATATATATATACAAGAAAGTTCTTATAATAGAAATAAGAAGAAAATTATTTTATATAGTGGATTAAAGCAAGAATTATAAATTCGGAAAATATTGGCACATTAATTTTGAATATTTTCACTTCATTGATTAAGCCCGTTTTCGAAAATTCGGCAATGGCGATAAAACTAGACTGTTTAACTAAAATGGTGTGTTTGCGGAATTTGAGCTTGTAGAGTTAAAAAATTAATTCCTTTATTAATGACATATGATTAATTTTTAACAGTGGTGACCATACTACCTTGTCTTGGCAACATTTTATATAAAACCTTTTTTAGTATAGGTATATGTGTTTATATGTGTTGATTCTGTTATTTTATATGTTATACTCGTATTGTATAATTAGTCATGTTCTAAATACTGAATTACTTCTAAAAATGAAAGAGACACAGACTAATTTTACTCAGCATTTCAAATCGACTTGTTAAAATTTATAAACTTAACTGCGTGTTTGTATGTGATTTGCCAACGAACTAAAATGGCGAAAAAAAGTATCATGTAACAATTTTCATTTGTCAATATTGTATTTGTTAACACATTTAAAAATAAATTGAATTAGTTTCATAATTTCTAATATTATACTAAAAATTTTGTAGCTGAAGATTGAGAGCCCATAATTAAAATCATAAAAAAGATTAATTGTTGTCATAATATTGAAACTATTATATTGATATTTACTTTGCTAATAAATTAATAATATTATAATTTTTAATAATAATATTTTTTTTAAAATTATTATTTACTTGATTTTCGAAATTTATTGTCACTATTCATATTTAAAGCTGTTTTTTGACAGAAAGCAGTATACATTCCTAATTTTTATACAACAGAAAAAAAATCTGCTCTTTAATTATAAGTTCTTTATGGAAAAAAGTTGACTTTAAGTGAGATTTATATGACATAATCGTTATCGAATTTTTATATATTGGGGTAATTTTAAATTAGAGATTACTATACTTTCCTACAGCAATTTCTAGCATAAAATTATCCCGATACAGAAACCTTAGTTTAAAATCATAAAACAATTTGTAATTTTTCGAGTCAGACCTCTATTAAAAATTTATAATTCAAATGATAAATTTTTTTAAGAGAAAACAAGTAATGTACATATTTTGGTACAAAATGTTAACGAAGTAGCTAGCTCTCGTTTAATTCACAAAAAAAAACGTAAAAATTTTCAACTTTAAAATTATTACATAATACATAAATTGCATATATTTTTAACCACAATAAAATTTTCATCATTATAAGATTCATCTTTTCAAATAATTATATATATATTTTCATATACTCATACATAATACTTATGTGCACACACGAGTATATAAGAAAACTTTAAATAAATCAAAATTACTTTTTAAGTTCAAAAACCACAAATAGTTACAAAATAATATAGAGAGAAATGATTACAAAAAAAAAAAATAATGATGAAAGGAAAACTTTATAATTTAGTTTAAAAATTTGCATTTAGAATTTGATATACTTACAAAATATAAAATATAAGTATATGTGGACGCCATCTTATATATACATACAAAATGTATATATAAATAAAATTTCTCCATCTAAAAAATCATCTAAATCCTCTTGTATATTTTATAAAACTTGTTGTTTTTTTTGTTTTTTTGCGTTAAAAGCGATTCAAAAAGAGAATTTCGTTCTTTGATTTTATTAATGTTTGTCAAGAATTCTATTTGAAATATAAGCACTTTGAATATACATATATATATATATATATATATAATAATTTATGACCTTTTCATCAAAGTTATTTTTAAAAATAAAAGAACTTGAACTACATATTTTAGAATCATTATGAATAAGACAACGAGTTAAAGAAGGGCATTTCATAAAAATTTTATTTTTATAGAATATATTATATGCACTACATATATATATATATGTAAATGTAGTATAGATCTTGTTTGTTAAAAGAAAGAAATGATATATTAAAGCATTTAATTTAACTTTGATTACAAAACAACATACATACATACATATATAAGTATATAAGGAAATTTGAAACTTTGTGTAGGTGCTATAACATTATATATACGAGTATAACCTTGCATATATATTTTAGAAAGTGGAATACTTTATATTTTATAAATTTATCATTATTACTAGAAAACTTTTATATATGA